AATGGAGGAAAAAAGAGAAAGAATTAGCCCCATAGAACAGTCAACAAGTAAAAAAGATTTCTGATTATATAAAAAAAACAAAAAACAGTAGTCAGTACTTTAAAACAGCATGATTTAAAAACCAACAAACCAAAAAAAAAAAAAAAATGCTATTCCTGAATTGCATTTACTAGGCTCAAAGGAGATAAATATTTTTTGCCCCAAATCACACTGATGGGAAATGGATAGAGTCAGGATTTGAACCCAGATGGGTCTTCGTCTACAGTCGGGCATCCGTTGTTTCTTCTCTTTTGGCATGCGGGGTGGGACAGTCCTTTGTGGTGGTACCCGCCCCACGAAATGCAGGTCGCTGAGCGTGGTTACGTTTAGCTAGTGCTGAATAACAGACCACTCAAAACTTAGTGACTTAAAACAATAACTATTGTTTTATTATTATTTTTTGTGGCTCTGGGGGTTGACTGGGCTCAGCTAAGCAGCTCTTAGGGGCCCCCATGCAGTTGCCCTCAGACAGTGGCAGACGGGGGCTGGTCATCTGAAGGCTGAATCAGTCCTATGTCTAGCACTTGGGATGGGGGGCTCAAACCGCTGGGGTTCCCCAGGCATCTCCCTCTGTCTCCATGTGGGCTCTCCAGAATGATGACTTCAGGGCAGGTAGCCTTAAGGGGTGACTCAGGCAGTGGTATGCAGGACCGGCTTGCACCGGCTGGTGAGAGCAGATTGTGGGCAAATCTTTCCAACTCCACAGTTCAAGGACTTCACAGCAGTAACTTGCAATCAGCCGTGGTGGGTGTGTTTACACCACAGAAATCAGCCAACGCTGCAAACCCAGACTCTTTTTCTTTTCCCCCCGGAGAGCTAGTTGTTAAACACTGAGCAGCACACCACTGGGCTCGGGGCTCCCAAGGCACACATTCCGAGACTGCCTGGCGGAGGCTGTCTCCTCTGTTACCTCCCAGCCTCGGGAATCCCGTAGCTTTGTCACTTCTGCGGGGCTCTGAAAGTGGAAGCAGTCACAGAGGCCTGCCCGTGTCAAGGGGAGGGGTGTGGCCTCACTTCTTAATGGTCCTGGCAGAGCATGTCAGGTAGGTTATGTTGTTATAGCCATTCGGGAAGATACGGTCTGCATAGCATCGTGGGTCCCTGGAAACTAAATACCAGTAGCATCCCCAGTCACTGTGACCACCAATAATAACCTCCCCCCAAACGCACAGACACTCCCAAACACCCTGGCAGCAGGAATTGCCGTGCGTTACGGGTCCCATACGACCCAGCCAGTAGTTGGGACTCAGCCGTGTGGACGTGGTGACTATGAGGCACCTCGGGGCCCGCAGCGGAGCATCCTAAACAAGCGTTTTGTATACCCAGGGCTCATAAAGGTACAGCACTTGAAGGTCCTTACTCCTTGGTGAAGTCTGGCTGCCCCATTGTGTGAGGGGACCACCCCCAGCTCCAGAGGACCCCGGCTTGCACATTGCTAAAGAGAGCCCACCCGGCTACACTCTGGTGAGTTTCACGTCCATGCCAGGCACGCTGGTGGACTTGCTTGTAAATTGCAGCTAATTATTAATGCAACTGATAACCACCTGGGGCAAAGCACACTCTAGTCTCAAAACCCTGTCTCCACAACCTCAGTCACTCTGCAGTGGGGGCGACGCTCTGCAGCGTCAGGCTTTCTGCCATTTCCACAGACCACCTGCCGATACAGGCTTACTTCTTAACGAGACCTTAATCAATTTGTTTAAAAATAATGACAGCTGACACGAATCGGGCACTTACTGGCTTTAGATAACATAACAAGCAATAGATCGTTGAAGCCTCTTAACCCGGGGCCACCTCCAAGGATGGTTTTGGCCATTAAAATGAGATAATGGGAATCAGTGAGATGATCTATCTCAAACGCTCGGCTCAGTGGCTTAACGAGGGCTCCATAAATGTCACCAGATGAAAATATCATAGTTCGAGGGTTGCTTGTCATGTTTTTTTTATGATGTGTAATAATAAGGGCAACTGACATAATTCAGTGTTTAAGATTAAATTAATATCACTTTTATGTATGAGACACTAGCAGTTCTTTTTAAAAGTGCCTTACAAATATTAATTTGTTTCATCCTCACAACAACCCAAGGGAGGAGGTACTGTTAACATCCTCGTTTTCAGAAGGGGAAACTGAGGCACAAAGAGATTAGTGACTTGCCCTTGGTCATATAACTAGCAAGAGGCATAGCTGGGACTCGAACCCAGGCTGGCTGGATCCAGGCGTGCAGCTTTCAGGACGAGGCTGTTCCGCCCCAGATGGGGAAATGAAATGAGTTTTGCACTAGATCTTGACCTGATCGCCGAGTTCTTGTTAAATAAAGGTATTTCGCCTCGCTATGCCTCAGTGTCCTCATCTGTGCAGTGGGTTTCTGGTGTGACGCTTTGTTCATTCACTTAACATCTCTTTGCTGAACAATTGTTATATGTCAGGCTCTGGTGTGGACACTGGTTTTCAGTATGCAAAAGAAACAACAGTTCTGCCCTAGTGATGGTTACAGTGTGGGCTGGTCGTGAGGCCCTGAAATTGTAAATAAGGTGGCCGGGGAAGGTCTCATGGAGAGGTTGACATTTGAGCAAAGATTTGAAGGAAGTACGGGGGTAAGCAAAGAAATCCTCTGGATCCAGGTGGAGGAAACAGCCTGTGCAAAGGCCCTGAGGTATGGAGGCTGGTGTGGCTAGGGCAGAGTGAGTGAGGGGCAGATGAGGGCAGGGAGGTGATGGGGGCAGATCGTGTGAGACCTTGTGGGCCACAGTGAGGACTTGGCCTTTTACCCTGAGTGAGATGGAGCCACCAGAGTGTTCTGAGCAGGGAGGGACGGGACCTGACTCAGGTGTGCACAGTTGACCTGGCTGCCTGTGAGGAACAGACAGTTGGGGAGAGAAGCAGGGAGACAGTGATGGTCCAGGTGAGAGGTGATGAGAATGGATGAGATCCCCAAGGGAGTGAGTGTTGGTGGAGAATAGAGGAGGTTCAAAGACCAGTCCCTGATATCGCGAGATCAGAGGGAGGAGGAAAGAACAGCCAAGGAGACTGACTAGGAGCCACCAAGCAGACAGGAGGGAACCAGAGGGGCGTGGTGGCGCAGAGCCAAGAGCAGAGGGAGCAACCCCACTGTGCCAGGTGCTGCTGACAGTCCAGCGAGGTGAGGCCTGAACAGGGACCATGGACTCAGCACCACAGGGGTCATTGGTGACGTTGACATTTCAGGGTAGGGAAGGGGGGCAAAGCCTGAATGGAGAAGGTTTAAGAGAGAACAGGAGTAGAAAATATGGAGTCAGTGAGCGTAGACGACTTTTTTGAGAAGTTTTACTATAAAGAGGAGCAAAGAAATGAGACCACAGCTGGGAGGGGAGGTGCAGTCAAGAGAAGGTTTGTTTTCAGACGAGAGAGATGACACTGTGTGGCTGCCGGGAATGATCCAGTGCAGAGGGGGCAACTGTGAGACCAGAGCCTGGAGTGAGACCAGGACTGGGAGGGTGGGAGCAGGCCCAGAGCACAGGGTTGACAGACACAGGGGCAGTCACGGGGGAAAGCGCAGGCGCAGGCCTGTGTGGGCGTAGGGCAGGCGGGTGGGAGACGGGCGGTGGGGCCTATGGAAGTTCACTTCTGTCGCTGTAATTTTTCTGCAAAATAACAAGCAAGGGGAGAGTGAAGAGGTGGAAGGATGTGTGGTGGGTTAGGGGACAGGGAAGAAGGTGTGAAATAGTTATCCATAGAGAGGAAGAGCCAGCGCATAAGAGGAATGTAATCTGATTGCCAGGCAGCATTAGGGGTACGCTTGAGGGTCAAGTTCACAACCTTGAAGTGAGACCAGCCAGTGGAGTTGTGTGTTGTTCTTCAGCCACTTTAAACTGTGTGGGACAGGCACAGGGTAGATGCAGGGCTGCATTTAACCAGGATCACGTGTAGGAGGAAGCCAGAGGAGGCAAGGTTGTATGCAAAAAAACCAAGGAATTTAAGCTGGGTAAGGAAGAAATGAGGACTCGAGGGGGTGAGGGGCCTGACAAGGAGGTAGGGACAAAGGATGGGAGCTCACAGTGGGTTGGAAGGATGGTGGGGGTCTAGGGCCCTGGGGGGTGATGGGTGGAGAGATGCCTGGGATTGGGGTTCTGAAGAGGCTGTGGTTATTAAGACAAGGTCTAGGTGCCACCATGGGAGGGAGGGGCTGAGAGGAGAGCAGGTCAGGGAACAGAGAGCCGGGTGGCAGAAGGAAGGATCACCTAATGGATGTGAAACCACAGACAGTGTTGATCAGAGCAGCCTGAGTGGCGCTGAGCCTGGAGCTAACATCACGGAGAAGTGAGCAGCAGCGATGTGGGTCAGCAGATGATGCACAAGGTGGGGTAGTACACGATCTACTCTGATGAGGAGGTTCATAGCTGGGGAGCTTGGGAAGCATGGAGGGAGAATGGTCTGGAAGCAGCACCAAGGAGCAGGGAGATTTACCCACTTGGAAGGGCCACAGGAGAGCTGGGTTCTGGTTAGAGCAAGAAAGGGACAAGAATGTCCAGGTGAAGAGATTGAGGAATAGATTATGCTGAAGACCGGTGATGAGTTCCCAAGAGCCGAAGAGTTGGGACAGGTTGGGGGATGGGGTGACAATGGTTTCCTCCCCGGTGGGTTTTTCTCAGGGGTCTTCAGTGTGCTTATGGTCACATATAAAGTGATTAGCCGGACACAAGTGCGCTGGCCAGGGATGGAAGCCGTGGTTAGCAGTCCCGGTGGGGTCATGGACAGGCCAGGGGCTCCTTGCTCCACGGGGAAGGATGGGGAGAAGCCGATGGCCCTCCGGAGCCAGGTGGCAGGAACTTGGCGCCCGGTTTTCGCAGCCGTGGCAGTCCCCCGGTTGCCCATGTACCTGGTGGGGTCACAGTCAAGCCGCAGGGGGCTTGCGTCCTGGGAGGAGAGGTGGTGGGAGGCCAGACTGCCCTGACCCGCCGCCCCTCTCGACCTGCAGGACTCCGGCGGCCGGAGATGGGCGCCCGGCCCTCGCGGCGGCGGCTGCCCGCGGACCCGCCCATAGCCTTGGACGCGCTGCCCCCGGAGCTGCTCGTGCAGGTGCTGAGCCACGTGCCGCCGCGCGCGCTGGTGACGCGCTGCCGCGCAGTGTGCCGCGCCTGGCGCGACGTGGTGGACGGGCCCACCGTGTGGCTGCTGCAGCTGGCCCGCGACCGCAGCGCCGAGGGCCGCGCACTCTACGCGGCGGCCCAGCGCTGCCCGCCCAACGGCGAGGAAGAGGAGGAGTTCCCGCTCTGCGCCCTGGCGCGCTACTGTCTGCGCGCGCCCCTCGGCCGCAACCTCATCTTCAACTCCTGCGGAGAGCGTGGGTGCCGGGGGCGGGCCTAACCCAGGGGGCGTGGCAGAGGGCGGAGTCTGTAGAGGGGCGTGGCCATGGTGAAGGCGCCAGGGGCGGGGCCGGGGCCGGGAGCCAGGGGGCGTGGTCAAGGAAAGATGCGCTTGGGAAACTGGATGGGCGAGGCCAGGGAGCGGCTGGGGAAGAGACGGACTGGGTAGGAGGAGCCAGGGGCTGTGGGCAGCGGAGGGAGACGAAATGCGGTTGACACCGAGCAGGAGGAGCCAGGGGGCGGGGCCGTGACCGGAATGGCGCGATGCTGAGACAGTAGGCTCGGTGGGCGTGGCTAAAGAGGGAGGAGCCAGGGGAGAACTGGGGGGAAGCCGATTGGGTGCTGGTGGGGGCGGAGCTTGCATAGAAATATAAGATCGCGTTGAGAGGCCGTGGGGCTAGGCTGACAGTGGGCGGGGCCAAGGAAGGAGGGGCCAGGGGGCTGTGATAGTAGAGGAGGGGGCCATGGTGGAAGGAGCCCCGGGGCGGAGCCGAGTGGGGCTGAGGGGAAGCTGAGTGGATGGGTATGGCTGAGTGACGTGGCCGTGGGGTGGAACCAGGAATGCAGTCAGCTGGGAGGGAGGAGCTGCTGGGCGGGGCTAATTGGGAGGTGGCGGGCTCTGCGGGCGAGCTGGCAGGCGAATCCCTTGTGTTCAAGCCTGTTGTATCCCACAGAGGGCTTCAGAGGCTGGGAGGTGGAGCACGGCGGGAACGGCTGGGCCGTGGAAAAAAACCTGACACTGGTGCCGGGGGCTCCTTCCCAGACCTGCTTCGTGACTTCTTTCGAGTGAGTGGCCCTTGATCCGTGGGGCAAAGGCCCCGAGGAGCGAGGGGGACCCTACCCCACTGTCCTCCTCCTCACCCTCACCCACCTCCACCCTCTCTCGCCCTCATTCATTTATTCAGGCAGTCAATCAACAAATATTTGTTGAGGGCCTGCCCGGTACCAGGCACTGTTTTATATGCCAGAGATACAAGGAAAATCCAGAAAGATCAGGAATCTGCTCTTTTCTCATTTGCATTTTAGGTGTAGGGTGGGGGAAGACATTAAACACATAACCAGTAAAATAACAACAACAACATAACAAACATTTAGTGGACTTACTCTATGCCAGATGCTTTACATATAACTCTTTTTTTTTTAATAATTTTATTTATTTATTTTTTCCCCCAAAGCCCCAGTAGATAGTTGTATGTCATAGCTGCACATCCTTCTAGTTGCTGTATGTGGGACGCGGCCTCAGCATGGCCGGAGAAGCGGTGTGTTGGTGCGCGCCCGGGACCCGAACCCGGGCCACCAGCAGCGGAGCACGAGCACTAAACCGCTAAGCCATGGGGCCAGCCCACATATAACTCTTTTAATCCTGGCAACAACCCTGTGACATAGAGCCTCTTATTATCTCCACTTTATAATAAGAAACTGAGGCACAGAGGGTAACCAACATCTTCCAAATGGTGGAGCTGGGATTTGAACCCAGTAATCTGGCTTCAGAGCTTCTGATTGTATAAATACTATGAAGCCATCAGAACCGTTTGATTGGTCAGTTGATTCTCTTTATCCTCATACCCCACACCCACTTCCCTTGTCCTCTCCCCCCATGGTCAACCATTCTCATGTGGCATTATCCAGCTTTCTAGTAGTTGCCAGTATATTAGGGGTGAAGTGATATCTCATTGCTGTTTTAATTTGCATGTTTTGATTTCCTAATAATTAAACATCTCTTCATATGCTTGTTAGCTTTTTGGATTCCGTCTTTTGTAAATTGCCTGTTCATGTTTTCTATTAGGGTTGATGTCTTATTCTTGTTGATATACAGGAATTCCTTGTATATTCTAGATGTCAGCCCCTTGTCCATCCTAAACATTGTGGAAATCTCCCACTCGCCATCTGTATTAACTGCTTCTGTGGTGTTCTTTGTTGTTATTTTCATCTGATCAAATTCATCTCTTTTTTTTTGCTTTAGAATTTTTGAAATTTTGTTCAAAAAATCCTTCCCCACCCTTAGATCCTAACAATATTCTCTTACACTCTCTTCTAGTACCCTCATAGTGGTACCTTTCACATTTAGATTTAATCCACCGCTGAATGTGGTGTTAGGAAGGATCCAGTTTTCCCTTCTCCATATATTGAGCCAGTTTTCCCAACATCATCTTCTAAAGAATCCATCCATTCCCCACAGAATGGCGGGGCCGCCTCTATCATTTATGAAATTCCGATACATTCCTAGGTTTGTCCCCGAACATTCTGCTCCGTTGGTCAGTTTACCACTTCCTCCAAATTGACCAATTGTTGGTCAATTTATCACTTCCTCCACCAGTACCACAGTATTTCTATTATTATGGCACACTCAGATTAGGGGGGGAGGACTGTTTACAAAGGTGTAGGCAGACCACAAGGGATACTGCAGGACCCCCCGGGCTAGTAACAGTGGGGGAAGGTCATTACTACCCCTAGATCTGACAGGGGTAAGTTATTGGAACAGAAGACAGAGAAGGCCGTGAGGAGAGGGCGTGAGGAGCTGTGAAGGGACACAGCAGTCTACAGTTCCCTTCGGAGGGAGCCAGGAGGATAAATACCCTGATTTTACTCTCTTCTCTCCTTTCTTTCTCCTGCTGGAGCTTCCCACTGCTGACCCAACAGGAAGTGGAGGGTAAGGGAGATACAAGCAATACGGCCTCAGACCTGGGCCCCCGAAATTGAAGAGGCCCCAGAATTCCCCACTCAATGTAGGCCTCCATTGGTACTCATGTCCCGGTCCCCACAAATATCAGGGGCAGGCTTGCAGAGGTCAGCCTCCTGGAGGCCAGAGCAGGGTGGAGAATGGTGGAGGGGATCTGAGGGCCCAGCCCCTCACGCATCGTGTCCGGTAGAGCAATTGGGGCTGCTGAGGGGCTGCTTTAGACAGGGCTGTGGGGGGCTTCTTGGAGGAGGTGATTTCTGGGCTGTGACTGTCTGCCCCACCCCCCTTCCATCTCCCCTTCGCAGATGGTGCTTCAAGAGGCAGCTTGTAGACTTGGTGATGGAGGGGGTATGGCAGGAGCTGCTGGACAGCGCCCAGATCGAGATCTGTGTGGCCGACTGGTGAGTGAAGAATGGCGACCTGCCCCGGAGCATCAAGGGTGGTGGCAGCGGTTCTGCAGACGGGGTTCCTTTCACGCCCCCATCAACCCCAGGGGGTCTGGCCACTGTCACTGTGCCCCCTTCGTAGTGAGGCTGCTAGAGGGGAAGCGATGCTCTCATAGGAGCAGAGCCAGGGAGGGGCGGAGCCTTGGTGAGCCCAGAACCCCCACTTCGACCCTCTTCCCAGCAGGCCCCAGGGTTGCTGACTTGAGCACCACTGCCTGGCTTGGCTTGGTCTGAAACAGAACAGCCCCTCTCACCCCCTCCACCCCCATAGTCCGCAACTCAACGCTGACCCTAAGGGCCTGTGGATGCCCAAGGCCTCAGAACGGCTGGGAGCACGCTCCTGAGAGGGCAGAGTGGGGATGGGGGCGCTGGCCGGCCTCAGAGCCTGCGGGCCTAACACAAGCCCCCTCCTCTCCAGAGCACCCAGGTTGTCCCCAAAGCATTTGGGCTCTTCCTTCTCCACAGAAAATCCAGTTTCTTCCCTGGGACTCTGGCTCCTCCCCAGAGCCGTGGCCACCCCAGAGCATCGCATTCCTACTCCCTCAGGCTCCTCCCCGGAACACCCGGCTCCTCCTCCCCCAGGTTGTGGTTCCTCCCCAGAGCACCATACTCCGCCCCCCACACACGCATCTGACCCAAAGCCTCCAGAATCTGCCCCTGGGAGGGTGGCGGGGGCATCACGGCTCACCGCCCCCGGCAGGTGGGGCGCCCGAGAGAACTGCGGCTGCGTCTACCGGCTCCGGGTCCGCCTCCTGGACGTGTACGAAAACGAAGTGGTCAAGTTCTCGGCCTCGCCCAACCCGGTCCTTCAGTGGACGGAGAGAGGCTGCCGACAGGTGGGTCCGGACCGCCTTCCGGGCCGCCCCTGAGCTGCCCAGAGGCACGCCCAGCCTCGCCCTCTGCTCTGTGGCCCTTCTCAGCTCTCCTCGCCGCGGGATGTCCGTAATAATAACCGCTGACAATCCCCAGCCCTTATCACACCCCAGGCCCTGTTCCGAGTTGTCCCTACTGATTCATTTCATTAGCACAACAGCCTAGTTGTTCAACATACATTTATTGAGCACCTACTGTATACTGGGCACTGCTGGGATGCAGCAGTGAACCAAAGTCCTTGCTCTGTGCCCATTCTAGAGTTGGGGAAACTGAGGCACGGGACTGGCCCAAAGTCACACTGCAGTGTGCAGGGCCTGACACAAGCCCAGGCTGGCTGCCGAGCATTAGCCGTCACGATCACCACACCCCAGTTATCAAAGTAACCTTTGGGGATCTTGTTTCCACTCCTCATCTCCTCCCCCCACCCCCCATCATGCAGACACAGCATCCAGAAAGATCCCAATAAAAAGTGAGTCAGATCACACGTTCCCCTGCTTGTGACCCTCCCATGGCCACATCTCAGAGTAAAAGCCAAGTCCCATCACGCAGCTATGGGAAGGAGGGAAGTCTGGGTCCATGGAGGATCCTTGTGCCCAGTGAAGGAATCCGGGCACAAAAGGCCATATTGTGTGACCACATTTATAGGAAATGTCCGGAATAAGCAAAGCCAGAGACACAGAAAGCAGACAGATTAGTGGTTGCCAGGGACCGAGAGGAAGGGAGGAATTAGAAGTGACGGCTAATGGACTCAGCGTTTTTTCCTGGGGTGATGGAAATGTTCCAGAATTAGATAGTGGTGATGGTTGCATAACGTTGTGAATATACTAAAAATCTCTAAATTGTACTGTTTAAAATGGTGCATTTTATGTTAGGTGAATTTTATCTCAATAAAAAAATTACAAAAGATGAAAAAGCCTGAAGCCAAAGTTCCACAAGGCCCCCCACGGTCTGCCCGTTTCCTCCCTGACCCCGTCTCCTACTTCTCCCCATGCTCTGCTCCAGGCACGCTGCCACCTCAGGGCCTTTGCACTGACTGTTCCTCTGTCTGGAACAGTCTTCCTCCAGATTCCCCCATGGTTCCCTCCCCTCCTTCAGGTCTCTGCTCAGATGTCACCTCAGGGGGGCCTTTGCTTATTCACTTTACGACGCCACCCTCCCGCAGAATTCCCTCTGCCTCTTCCCCATCACCTCCAGTGCCTGGTCCCCTGCTAGACTGTCAGCTTGACCAGGGTGAGCTCTTTTTGCTGCTTCTTCACTGCTGTCTCCCCGGCGCCTAGAGCAGGCCTGGTCTCTACTCAGTGTGGGGAGCATCTCACCCTCTCGCTCTCCTCCCCCGCAGGTCTCCCACGTCTTCACCAACTTCGGCAAGGGCATCCGCTACGTGTCCTTCGAGCAGTACGGGAGGGACACGCGTTCCTGGGTGGGACACTACGGCGCCCTCGTGACTCACTCCAGCGTGCGGGTCAGGATCCGCCTGTCCTAGCCTGCCAGCCCGCTCGGCCTTCCAGGACGCACCGCCCTCAGCCAGACATCGCCATCAGTCAAGGGCGGCCGGGAGCCAGAGGACGCCCTGGGACAGTGGGGGGTCCCCTGTGGCCTGTTCCCGGCAGCCTCCAGTGAACCCCACGCTGTGCGGGAAACCAAGGATCCAGCCAGGCTGCTCACATCTCCCCAGCTTCCCCGGTGGGGGGTCAAAGAATAACTCAGAGACGTTTACCGTGCCTGCAGATTGCTTTCCCACGTGTGTGGAGGCCAGTTAGTAAACCGAGTCAAAAACAAAGGCCAAACCAGGATTAATGATAGAGGGGGACGCTCCGGGAAATGTGGGGCCAGTGACTCGGCGGCGTGTTTTTGGGGTAAGCTGATCGCTGGCAGGGACCTCTGGTCCTTAAGGGGACCACCAGGGACATCAGAGGGACCCTTTCTGTTGTTTTGGGGAGTCTCGGGTTCAGCTGTGGGGCCCGTGCAGCCTCCTCCAGCGCTGCCCATCAGCATCTTCCCTTTGGGCCAGACTGGCACCGTGTCTCTCAGAATTCCTGAGGCCCAGTCCCTGCTGACCCCTGAACGGTGGCCCCCCCGCCCCGTCCTCAGGGGCTCACCCCTGCCGGGCAGCACACTCCTTTCCTCCACACCCCAGCCCACGTGCATACGGTCTCCAGCAGCAAAGCGTGCACGAAGGAAAGCTCCCCATCTCGATCCTCTAGTGTCTCCTACTCTCCCCAGCTCGGCTCAGCCAGCAAACGAGCTCAATAAGATTGGTGCTAAGTGTGAGGTGATGGGAGATTTTTGTCTGTAATCGATGCACTTTCTGCCCCCGGCTCTGATCCTGAAAGCCCTGGTGGGCTGTTGCCAATAGTGAAACTTGAGGAGGTGTGCTAAGCACCATGCAGAAAATGGAGACAGGCTTCAAGAACCCAGAGATGGGCTACAAGGGCGCACTGGACAGCCCCCATGGCGGTTCTAGGCGGTTCTCCCAACAGCTCTCAGGCAGGCACGATATCAATGCCATGTAGGCCAGGCCATTGAAACAGGCTCAGGAGGCCAGCCCCAGTGGCCTAGTGGTTAAGTTCGGCACGCTCCGCTTCAGCGGCCTGGGTTCAGTTTCTGGGTGCAGACCTAGCCATGCTGTGGTGGTGGCTCACATACAAAAAGAGGAAGATTGGCAGTGGATGTTAGCTCAGGGCTAATCTTCCTCAGCAAAAAATAAAAAATAAATAAAAATGAACAGGCTCCGGGTTTCAATGATCTGCCCAAGGTTGCCTGGTGTGGAAGTCAGGAGGCAGGACTTGCACCAGAGTTGGGCCCCACATCCTAAATCTTAAAATCGAATGTGGCCAAGCACGTGACCAACGAGGCCAGTATTACGCTCAGCGCCACTTGCCAAGGGAGGAAACCGAGGCCCAGAGGGGCAACAAATATACTCAATGTCACAGAACAATGAAGAGGTGGAGGCAGGATGTGAACCCAGGAGCAGGTGAGTCAGAATAACAGAAGAGCAGGGCACCCCACTCGATCCTTTCAACACCCGCTTGTCGCCAACATTACAGTTACGGCCACTTTTCAGCCGAGGACGCTGGACGGCGGCGCCTCCTTGCCTGGCCCTCGGCCTGCAGGCAGGGGAACTGGGCCTCAGGGCTGCGCGCCTGCTGCACAGAACAGCCGCCACCTGCAGGTGTATGCACACAGAGCATCTATCTTCATCTTCACCAAACCCAACCCAGGGCATGCACCGGGCGGAGCTACTTCCTGGAGGAGGAAACTGAGGCCCAGAGGGGCTGTCAGTTGCCGAGACCACACAGAGGGCGAACACTACCAGAACGGGTTTATAACAACCGTCGGGGGTCTGTGTTTATTGCAAGTCCTTCCCAGCAGGTGGCAGTGCCGTGTCCTGTCCCAGCAGGAAAGGTCCCTGGCGCCAACACTCACCCATGGAAGCCAAGCGTGTTGGCAGAAGCGCCTTTTTCCAATCCACACCCCAGGACCCCTATGGGCTAACGGTGGTTTCGAGGGAAGAGGTGGGCCCAGGATTCGAACCCAGGACCAGCTGCCTTCAGAGCTGGCCCAGCTCCCCAGGGTCCTGCAGGAGCCCAGACAGGCAGGTTCTGGCTCTGCATGAAGGCCAGCCCGCGCCCCAGCCGTCACTTCTTCTTCTGCACGTGGCCGCAGTCGTACTTGCCGCGCACGACGGTGAGCTTGACGCCGGGCAGGTCCTGGGTGCGGCCGCCCTGCACCAGCACGACGTGGTGCTCCTGCAGGCTGTGGCCCTCGCCGGGGATGAAGCAGACGGCCTCGCGGCCCGTGCTGAGCCGCACCCGGCAGCACTTGCGGTTGGCCGAGTTGGGCTTCTTGGGCTTGCGGATGAACGTGCGCAGGACCACGCCCTTCAGCTGCGGCCGGCCCTCCGTGGGGCCCAGAGTCGGGGGCGGCCGCTTCGGAGGCCCCTTGCGGTGCATCTGGTTCAAGGTGGCCATGGAGCGGGCGGCCTGGAGCCGGGGGGTCAGGGCGAGGCCTGGAGAAACACAACCGGGAGGGCGCAGGAGGGTTACTACCGATGAGCGGATGATAATATCAGCAACTCGATTCTGGGGTTCTAGGCACTGTTCCGAGCACTGTACAAGGGTGCATTTGTCTACCTCTGGGGGTCCTCACAGACCATAGTAACAACAACATGGATTGAGCAACCACCACGTGTCAGGTTCTATTTTAAGTATTTTACATGAATTAACTCATTTTATTCTGCAAGGAAGGTATTAATTTTAATGCTGTTTAAACCTCATAATCAAGCCAACAGGCTCACTGTGTGTCCTGTTCTATGCATGGAATCTACATTAACTCACGCCCTCTTCACAGCGACCCTGTGGGGTATTCCTGGGAGGTGTCACTGCTCTGCCTCCTCCTGCTAAGCCTCCTTCCCAGCCCCGTGAGCAGATGCTGTCAGCTGAACCTTCAAAACTGATCCGAATCCACCTTTTTCTCCCTCCTCCACTGCATCCACTCTGGTCCTGTCCACCTTTGTCTCCCAGGTCTCTCTGCTCCTACTGTCTGTCCCCCCAATGCAGCCAGAGGGACCCTGTGGACACCTGGGTCGGTCACGGCCCTCTCCTGCTCAGAGACCTCCTGTGGCGCCAGCTCACTCAGCGGAAGAGCCAAGGTCCTCCCGTGGCCCCTGAGGCCCCACGCAGTCAGCCCCCGTGACTTCTGACCTCGCCTCCCCACTCGCCCCTTGCTCGCCCTGCTCTGGCCGGTGTCTGCAGACACACCAGCAGAAAGGAGACCAGCGTGGCTGCAGAGCAGTAAGAGGAAGGGCAGGTGGGGCAGGGAATACATTTCCAAGGCAGACCCACAGGATTTGCTCATGGATAGGAAGTAGGACGTAAGAAGATTCAGAGAGAAGTGCATTCTCTTCCACCAGCACTCACTGACACCTACTGTGTCTTGGCCCCAATAATGGAGACTCAGCGGTAACTGAGATGACCCTGGGCCATGCCCTCTTGGAACTCCCTGTCCAGGGCTCTGAGGTCCATCTCTCTGTCACTAGTCAGTGACAGACAGAAGTGAGTGGCAAACAGAAGGTGCTTAATAAAGGCTTGCAGAGTGAATAAATGAATGAGATACCTTTCAAAGGGCACGGCCAATTAGAAGCATGTGATGTTTGTTCATAAATAAAGCATCCCTCTCAGAGCCTGGCACATACTCTGCTCTTGAAAAATATCAGTTGAATGAATGACTTACACGCGTTGCTTGGCTGTCTCACCAACGGGAGGTATTTGATATTATTTGCTTTAGAAATAATTGACCCAAACTGCTGGTAGCCACCTGATGCATAGCAGCCCTCAATGCAATCACTTCCCACCTCCTGCCCTCGCAGCCCGAGATCCGCCAAAACCCACCGCGTCTCCATCTCTGATTTTAAACTGATTCCCTCGGGGCTGCGGCAGACACACACGTCCCAGACGGGATAACCCTCATCCAGCCTCGTCTCTGCAGCCAAGCCTCCCACTTACCATAACTTAGGAACGTGTTGAGGCCACGGAGAAGGCCGGACCAGGACATCCCGCCGCCTGCCGCGTCCCTGCGTTAGGGGATAAGAAACTCAGAAAGGAAGAGGAAAGAGTGGCCGTAGTCGGGCGAGGTCCAAATTCTCCCCATTCCACTCTCAAGGCCTTCTGGTTCAATCTAAGGAAGTTCCTCTGACAGTCTAACCACAACCCCTTATGCTAACAAAGTCCCTCCGTAAAGTTAGCCTCGCTGTGAGTAGGCTCTCTGGGACCCAAACGCCCCCACCCGCATACAGGAGGAAAAGAGAAATTGAGGGGAGGTCCGGGGAGGTTTGGAGGACCCGGGGACACCACCGACCTCTCCGACCCTAGCCCAGTCCGCAGACACGCTGAACCCGGCCTCGAGTCCCTTCCGGGGGTTATCCCGGCCGTGATTGGCCGGTTCTGCCTCTCGCGTACACTGAAGGGGCGGGGCAAGACGACGATTGGGCAGCGACCAGAGTCAATCTCGGTCTACTGTCTCCACCCCTTCAGGATGTGATTGGCTCGTTCCCAGCAGGAAGTCTGCTTTGCAATTGGTCTAAACGCGGAGTGGGCGGGACGAGGAGTGCGTGACTCCTTGTCCCCTGTCCAAGATGGCTGCGTCCATAGCGCGGCGCTTGTGGCCTTTGGTGGCCGGGCGGGGCCTCCGGCCCCGGGGAGGCTGCGTCTGCAGTCAGAGCCCAAGGAGAAGTTTCGCTACGGAGAGACGAGACCGCAACCTCCTGTACGAACACGCGCGCGAGGGCTACAGCGCGCTCCCTCAGGTGGACATGGAGCTGCTATGCGCATGCCCGGAAGAGGCCGCGCGCGCCCTGGAGCTCCGCAAGGGGGACCTGCGGCCGGAAGATCTGCCCGCGATCGTGAGTGCGCTTGCGCCGCCGGCCGCCTAGGGGCTGTTCGCTTTACGGACGAAGTGTGCGTGCAAGATGCTCTCCAGCAGGGGGCGGGCTTGTCGCAGGAATTTTAGTTCCTTCCCAAGTTGAGCCCACGTGTTGTGCTTGGCACGCACGTACGTGCCAGTTATCCAGAGTGCTAAGACCCTTCTGTCTAGACAGCCATTCTGCGCCTGTTCTATGAAGCGTGCTGGGTACCTTGTCTGCGCTGGGAACTTTGTGCCAGTGTCCTTTCTGCTCCGACCTCCTGCTGGGCTTACCCTAGGGCCACAAGGAAAATGGGGGACAGGGATGTGAATGGGGGGAGCCTCTTGCCTTTGGAGAGTGAGAGGTGGAGACCTGCACTAGGGTTATTTAATGAATGAAGGGTTCTATTGAACAGATGTAGGGAGCACCTAATATGATCCAGGCATTGAGAATAAGGCAATGAATAACAATAATAAGGATAATATAGCTAGCTTTTATATAATACTACATGCTGGGGAACTAGGACAAGGGTCTCCATGCTCCTAGACCCTGCTGGGGTGCTGAGGATGGCAGGAACCTCAAAGCTGCCCAGCCCTCTCTTGGACGCCCCTGTTCCGAGTGCTTTATGCATATTTGCCTTATTTAAGTATTGCAACAACCCTATGAAGTAGGTGCCATTATTTCCCCCATTTTATCAGAGGGGAAACGAAGGCTCAGAGAAGTTAATTTTTTAAAAAAGAGTATGATGGTGCCTCAAAAAATTAAACATAGAATTACCACATGATCCAGCAATCCCACTTCTGGGTATATACCCAAAAGATTGAAAGCAGGAACTTGAGCAGATATTTGTGCACCCTTGTTCATAGCAGCATTATTCACAATAGACAAAAGATGGAAGTAACGCAAGTGACGGATCAGTGGATAAGTGGGTAAACAAAATGTGGGGTATCCATACAATGGAATAGTACTCAGCCTTAAAAACGAAGGAAAGTCTGACACTTGCTCTAACCTGGATGAACCTTGAGGACATTCTGCTCAGTGAAATAAGCCAGTCACAAAAGACAAATACTGTATGATTCCACTTAGATGAGATACCCAGAGTAGGCAAGTTCATAGAGACAGGAAGTGGAATGGTGGTGGGCGGGGGCTGGGGGACGGGGAATGGGGAGTTAGTGTTTAATGGGGCAGAGTTTCAGTTGGGAAAGATGACCGAGTTCTGGAGGTAGAGGTGTTGATGGTTGCACAACATTGTGAATGTCCTTCATGTCACTGAACTTAAAAATGGTCAGTTTTATGTATATTTTACCACAGTTTTTAAAAGTGCTAGTTTAGAGATTCTAAAGTAATTTTATAACCCACTAACGGGTCACATCCCAAAGCTTGAAAAACAGTTCTTTAGGGCACAAAGTGTGAAGAGGAACGTGGCACGTGGCTTGCAGCAATAACGAGGCCTGTGGCTTGTTCCTGGGGCCCTGGGCAGCTCTGGGTGCCTTTAGGCAGGCGAGGGATTGTGTGAAAACTCTGGCCGGGTTGGAGCGGGTGGCACCAGGAGGAGGCCCAGGGCTCTGGGGAGGGGATGGGAGCAGGTGGGGCTGTCCCTGAGAAGGAGGAGCGGATGTGGGGGGAGATGCTTTTCCTAGAGTCACTGTCGCACATGGTGAGTGTGCAGTGTCCAGGGGGAGCCACCAAGTGAGGAACAACCCTCTGTGTGGCCGGCCCTCCCCTCGGGTGTCCAGCCCCAGGGAGGTGGGACAGTGTTTGTACCATTTGTGGAAGGAAAAGCTGCCGCCAGAGAGGACAAGGGTTGGCCCGGGGGCGTGGGCTCGCTGAGGGCCTCCGGCAGTGGGTGCGTCTGGGCAGTGAGAGCTGGGGCATGGGTCTCACCCAGCCCCCCAGGACCCCGTGTTGGAGGGTGCAGGGCTAGCTGCTGTCACAGCCCCCTGGGGTAGAGGCTGTTTGGGTCTCACGTGAAAGTCCAGGGGTGAGTCCCGGCGGGGCCTCAGCTCCATGTCGCCCATCAGTGCCCAGGTCCTTTCACCTTCTTGCTCCGCGTCCCGTAGGATGTCGTCCTGGTCGGCTTTCCTCAGGGCCCGTGGTCCAGTCCGGGGAGAGTGAGAAAGTCCAGGATGGGGGCTTATCTTCAAGGAGGTGACCCAAGAGTCACATTACCCCTTCCTCTCGTGTCCGCAGGGGATCTCGGGCACACGTGGCTGCAAGGGAGGCTGGGGAATGTCTTAATTCTGGGCAGCTGTGCCCAGCAAGCCATCAGGCGTTCTGGTGCTGGGGTGGGGGGGAGAGAATGGCTCCCGGGGGCCCGTGAGGGTCTCTGCCTCACGCCACTGCTGGGCCACGTGGCCGGTGGGGTGGGGCTCCGCCAGAAGGGGCGGGGACGGTGGCCGCTCCACATCTTTCCCTCCCGTGTGCCCGCAGATCTCGACGTGGCAGGAGCTGAGGCAGCTGCGGGAGCAGATCCGGAGCCTGGAGGAGGAGAAGGGGGCGGTGGCTGAGGCGGTGCGCGCCCTGCTGGTGAGCAGGGGCTTCCAGGTGGGCGGGGGCTGGCGGCGGGATGCCTCGGGCTGCAGGTGACGGGAAACCCAGTTTAAGGACCTTGCAGGACGCGGACAGTCATGACCTCACCTGGGTTCGGGCATCCCTGGGGTGGACGAATGAGCGGCTCCCCCAGCATCCCCAGCCCAGCTTCCTCCCCCGTCTGCACCCGCCACTTCCCTGTCTTGATGTGACCTCAGTTTCCCTCTCACGGTGCAAGCTGGCTGGCTGTCATCGTAGTACAGCGTCTCCTCCCGTGACTCTGCCAGAGGCAGAACACGGACCTGTCTGGCTTGAGAGCCTTTTCCAGGAGCAGGGAGACCTTCCCGAAGCTTCCAGCAGAGTCCCCTCTGATGGGCCCGGGCGCCCCACACCCACCCCGTCATCGGCGGGAGGCGCCCCGGCTGGGCCCGCGGTCCTGAGCTGCAGGCTGCCGGGGAGGGTGACCCGCGTCGGGGGTCCGTGGGGAAGGAGGCCGGAGGGCGGAGGGTCTTGGGTGAGCCAGCGTCTGCCGCAGAGGGCTGAGGCGATCGTAAACATAACCGCCGGCGTTTATATCGCCGTCACCGCGTGCCGGCCGCTGTTCTGGGTGCTCTCCTTACTCGCGACTCTGGGAGACGGGAGCGACGCAAATCCAGGTGACAGCTGGGGAAACTGAGGCCCCGAGAGGTTAAAACGTGCCTGCGTCTCACAGCCAGGGAGGGGGAGAGGCGGATTCACACCCTGGCATTCGGGCTGCTCTGCCCGGGTCCAGTCAAGTCCTCTCGCGACACCAGTTACATCTCCCGGTGACCTGCCGTGTCTGTGCCAGGCCCGGGCCACGCCACCCAGGCGGGAGACGGTGAGAACCACAAAATTGATCTCCATCACGGTTCAGTGAGTGCTGGCTCATCTCAAGGGAGCCATGCAACAGCCCTGCTGGGGAGGTCGTGTTAGCGCCCCATTTCACAGATGGGGATCCTAAGGCGTCAGGAGGGGGCACCCGACATTCTGACCCTGGTCACCTGATTCCCTCTGTTGCTCAGGGTCGTAGAACGTTCAGGGTATCAAAGATCAGTGGTTGCAGGCCTCCAGATTCCTGCTCACAGACTGCCTCTCCAAGCCTCAGTTTTCCCATCTGCAAAATGGGGTCACGTGGATGCCAACCTCATGGAGAGGGTTATGAAGAAACAGGATGGTGTGAGCGCCCCCTGCACAGAGCCAGGCGTGAGGCGGCACTCAGTAAACGGAGCCGCAGCTGTGATTACTGTTACGCTGTCATGCCCCCTCCCAGCTTTACCGACAGAGAAGCTGAGGCACAGAGTGGAGGGTCCAGCCAGGTCCTGGCAGAGCAAGGAAGTCAGATGCCTGGCCGTGTGTGACCTTTCACACTCTTTTTTCCCCTCCTCCCCACCCCTGACTTCATCAACCTGATCACCCTGTCTGTCTCTTTCCTGCCAGGTGAACCAGGACAACAGTCAAGTGCAGCAGGTATGACAGGGAGGTGGGGTCCTGTCCCCGGTGGGGGGTGGGCAGCAAGGATGCCATGTCAGTCATGATTCCTCCGTTGTGTGTGACAGAAGACACAACTCAGACAGGATTAAGGAAAAAAGAAAACCAGGCTCTATTGAGTCATGAAACTAAAAAGGCTGGCTTCAGGTACAGCTGGATCCAGGTCCTGGCTCCATATTTGGTTCTGCTTCCATCATTCCGAGACCAACTTTCTCCCCTTGGGGAAAGGAGAGCCAGGGTCCAGTGCAAATAGGACCACTTCCCTGACAGCTCCAGCCATAGTCCCAGGGCTGATTCTCATGAGTTCGGTTTGGATCATGGGCCTGTCTTTGAGCCAGTCCCTGTAGCCAAGGCAATGGAATGTTCTAGTAGGCCAAGCCTGAGATCTGTCCCCATGGACGTGCCATGTGGTGGTGAGGGGAGGTTCCCAAAAGGATATTCAGGATGTTGAGCCAAAAGAAGAGGCCCTGAATGTCCACCACCAAGGTTCAGCTAGCAAGGCTCAAGGTCAGCCTGGCTGGGCGACCCTCACCTCTCCCGGGCTGACCCGCTTGTCTCGCTCCCAGGACCCCCACTATCAGGGTCTGCGGGCACGTGGCCGGGAGATCCGGAAGCAGCTCGTGCTGCTGTACCCCAAGGAGGCCCAGCTGGAGAAGCAGTTCTACCTGTGGGCGCTGAGGCTGCCCAACCAGACCCACCCGGACGTGGTGAGCGCCGTGCCGGGCAGCGGGGGAGGCCGGGGGCCCCCTCGTGCCACCCTCCCCGTGACGCCCGCTGTCTCCCCACAGCCCGTCGGGGACGAGAGCCAGGCCCGAGTGCTCCACGTGGTCGGGGACAAGCCAGGTGGGCCACCCCAGGCTGGGGGCCGCGCTCGGGGTCTGGGCCTGCGCTGGGGCCTGTGGGACCCCCCGGGGCGATGTGGCGGGAGGTGGCTCCCGGCTTCAGGCCTCGGCGGGGCTCTGGCTGACCGCCGGGCAGGTCTCGGGTTTCATTCTCCCTCCTCACCTCATCGGACGGACTTGCTCTGTGTGCGTGTGTCTGTCTGTCTGTCTTTCCGGCCCTCTTGCCTCGGCCCCTGTCTCCCTGGGGCTTTTCCTCTCTGACCCTCGGCGTCTCTCTGACTCTCTCCCCATTTCTCATCTCTTCCCCGTTCCCATGTCTGCCTCCCTCTCACTCCCCTTCTGTCTTGTTTTTCCCTCTCCTCCTCCCGGCTCTCCTCTTCCCTCCCTCCCTCTCTTCCTGCCTCTCCCTCCCGCTGTCTCTCTAGTCCTCCCTCCCTCCCTGCTCCCCGTCCCTCTCTTCCTCTCTTACCCCGTCCCTTCTCATCCCTATCCAGCCTTCTCCTTCCGACCCCGGGGCCACCTGGAAATCGCCGAGCAGCTCGACATCATCCGGCAGAAGTGAGCCCCCACCGTGGCCCCTCCCTCCCCCCCACCCCGACAGCTGGCTGCCGGCTCCCCCTCAGTGGGCTCCCCCTCAGTGGGCTCGGCCAGCATGAATGTTTGATGCCCGCTCCCCGCCTGGCAGCTGGGCCTCTGCCCCGGGGTGCTTGAGTCCCCCTCCGCCCCCACCAGCCCTGGCTCACGCGCCGCCACCCCCACGCGTCGCCACCTGTCTGCCCATCTGTCCCCCAGGCGTCTGTCCCACGTGTCCGGCCACCGCTCCTATTACCTGCGCGGGGCTGGGGCCCTCCTGCAGCACGGCTTGGTCAACTTCACACTCAACAAGCTCGTCCGCAGGGTATGGGCCAGGATGGGAGGGCTGCCTGGAGGCGGTGGTGTTGCAGCTGAGCTCAGAAGGCTGGGGGGGGGCGGGGAGGGGAGGCACCTCTGCTCCAGTCACCTTTTTCAGAGCTTTACATGTATTATTGACCCTTTAATTCTTATGAGGTGGGTGCTATTATTATCCCCATTTAGGGATGGATACCTTGAGGCCTAGGGAGGAAGTGAGGAGCCCAGGGTCTCACGGCTAGTGTGTGAAGCTGGCTTGTCACCAGTGCACCACTGCCTGCCGTGTGAAGAGTGTTGGGAAATACGGCCTCCGTTGAAACTGGAGGGGCCGGCGGGGCTGAGTGCGTGGGGCGAGGGACTCAGACATTTCCTGAGGGCACTGGGGAGCCACGGAAGGCTCTGAGCAGGGGAGGGACACGGTCAGATCTGTACTTTGGAACTACAGCTCTGCTGCCCTGTGCGGTGTGGTCTGAGTGAGGAGCCCGTGAAGAGGGCCCTGGTGACGGGCTGCCAGGGCCCCGGGGCCAGCCCCAAGCCCACTGCTCAGGCCTCCCCGATGCCCTGTGAAGTGGAGTGGGCTTCAATGACAAGAGGGAGCCACCAGCCCACTCTGCAGTGTCCCTGCTCAGGCCTGAGCTTGGGGTCTGGGGGGGCTCCTGGCTGTGCCGCTCACCCTTCCCCTCCCTCCTCACAGGGCTTCACCCCCATGACGGTGCCAGACCTCCTCCGAGGAGCCGTGTTTGTGAGTGAGGACCCTCCACCCCCACACCCGGCTGTCAGGCCCCGTTCTGGGGGCCCCAGGCTGGGAGACCAGCCTGTCTCCCCTGAGGAGACTGCCCTGGGGCTGGGTGGAGGGGGTCAGGCCGTAACAGGGAGGCCTGGGGGATTCCAGATGCTTCCAGGGGAGGAGCAAGGGTTATGACTGCAAAATGGGGGAGGCCCAGGGTACCTGTCCCCTGACCTCTGTGGCCTGGCCTCCTCCCCAGGAAGGCTGTGGGATGACGCCAAATGCCAACCCATCCCAAATTTACAACATAGACCCCTCCCGCTTTGAAGACCTCAACCTGGCCGGGACAGCAGAGGTGGGGCTTGCCGGTAAGCACCTGCCTGGGGGAGAGGGGGTGGTGCAGGTGGGATTGTAGGGGGATAACCGGGAGCATCCTGTGGGTGGCAGTTGCCTGCCCAGGATATGTTCAGTGACCACAGGGCTGATGTGTACAGTTGTGTAGGTTGTTGACTGCACAGCAGTACAGTGAAGATCCAGCCACATGCCCTCATGTGAGGTTGTGTCCGCCAGAGGGGATACCTTTTCTAATTCTCACAAAGGTTTCCTCTGGATGAGTGGTGGCCCTGGCTGACCCATCCTGTCCCCCTTTCCTCCCAGGCTATTTCATGGACCACTCCGTGGCCTTCAGGGACCTGCCCATCAGGTGATGCCCCGTTCCTTCAGACCTTGTCCCCACCTGTGACATTCCCTCTCCCCTCCCTGACTCCACCTCCCCTGTTCCCCCCAGGATGGTCTGTTCCAGTACCTGCTACCGGGCGGAAACGCACACGGGGAAGGAGCCGTGGGGGCTGTATCGAGTGCACCACTTCACCAAGGTGGGCGTGGCCGGCAAGGGGAGGGGGCTCACCCGCACGGCCCAGGGCCCCCTGACTCCTGTGCCCTGCCCTGCCCAGGTGGAGATGTTTGGGGTGACGGGCCCCGGGCTGGAGCAGAGCTCGCAGCTGCTGGAGGAGTTCCTGTCCCTTCAGATGGAGATCTTGACCGAGCTGGGCTTGCACTTCCGGTGCGGAGGGGGTGGGGGGCCGGGGTGGATGGTGGAGGGAGGCGGGGGCTGGCTGGGTGCTCCCCGTCTTGACGGTCCTCACCACCTCGTCTCCCTCTGCCCGCTTTTCCTGCCTTAGGATTATGTTAGGATGTCTGTCTGCCTGTCGGGCTGGAAGCCCTGTGGAGGGTTCGAGGATTGTGACAGCAGCATAGGCCGCACAGGGCGCGCCAGTGTGGAGACCCGGGCCCCGTCCCTCCCGTTGCTCCCCGTCCCTGGGTGCCGCCCCATCTGCCCAGACCACCCAGTGTGGGGTTGGGGGGTGGGGGTGGATGTGACCCAGGCTTTGAAAGCCCCACTTCTTCTCACACAGTCAGTGACACGTAGCTTTCAAGAGGGGCTGAGAAATGAGGGCTTTTTTCAAGGGGATCCATTACAAAAACGCGGGGCTGCTACTATTACAGGAGGTGAGAAAGCCACAGCGAACAGCCTGCAGACTCAGCCACACGCCCCTTCTCCCCGTCCTCTCCACTGGCTCCTGTGCGCCCCGGGTTCCTCCTCTTCCTCCCCTCCCTCATTCTCCCTCCTCCTCCTCCCACCTCAATCACCTCCTCCTTCTCCTCCCCCTTCCCCCTTTTCCATCCTCCCTTCTCCCTCCGTCTCCTCCTCCTCCTCCATCACCACCTCCTCCTCCTCCATCCCCACCTCCTCCTCCTCCTCCATCCCCACCTCCTCCTCCATCCCCACCTCCTCCTCCTCCATC